GGACGTAGGACGTCTCATCACTATTATACCCTCTCACCTCACATATTCCCCACACTAATGTATTATAGTATTATAACATAACATGTTAAATTAGGGATAATCTTAGGATTTTTTTGGGTTATTTTGTAAAATATCGAGAGTTATTTATATTTTTATAATTTTTAGGGGGTGGCTATAAAGTTTTCAGGGTGCTGTTTTGTAAAGTTTTATGAGGTTATTTGTAATTTACAAAAACTTCATGGGCTTTTTAAAAATTCTTCGCGGATATTTGTACTTCTGAAAACTTTCAAGGGATGTTTTTGGTAAAACCTTTAATGAGTTATTTATAATATTTTTAAATTTTTAGCGTGGTATTCATTACTTTAGCGACTTTTGTGGGGTCAATTGTAAAATTTTGAAAGATTGTTTTAAAATTCTCAAGGGAATATTTCTAATTTTTGAAAATATTAAGGGGCTGGTTATAAAATTGTTAGGGGTTTGTTTGTAAAACTTCAAGGGGCTGTTTGTAGTGTTTTATCTTTTTAGAGGACTGTTAGTAAATTTTTTAGGGATTATTTGTAATTTATGGATTTTAAAAGGACAATTTATAATTTTCTGAATTTTATGATGTTATTTGTAATTCTTTGATTTCTCAAGGAAACACTTATAATTTTTGAATCTTAAGGTGGTGCTTGCAACTTTCATAAGATTATTTGTACGTAATTTTTAGATTTTCATGGGGTATTTGTAGTTTTTGAAACTTTCAAGGGTTCAATTTATAAAGGTTTTAGGAAGTTGATAGTAATATTTCAAATTTTTAACAGTGTAAATGTTATTATTGCAACTTTAATGGGGCCACTTGTGAAATTTTCAAAAGGCCACTTATAAAAAATTTCAAGGGGATCTTTATAATTTTTAAAAATATTAAGAGGCTAGTTATAAAATTTTAAAACAATGGTAAATTTTCATAATACTATTTTTATCTTTTAATTTTTCATAGGACTTTTGTGATGTTTTTTACTCTCAATGGATTGTTTGTATCTTATGGATTTTAAAAGGGAAGTTTGTAATTTTCTGAATTTTGTTATGTTATTTATAATTTTTAAATTATCTCAGGGTTTACTTCTAGTTTTTCAATCTTAAGGGATTGTTCCCAAATTTCTAATTTTTGTACCTTCTTAAAAATTTATATTTATTAGGAGGCTATTTCTAATTTTTGGATCTTAGAGTGTAGTTTATAATTTTTCGAGTTTTATGGTAATTTTTAGACTTTCAATAGGGAAGTTGATAATTTGCTAATTTTGAAAACGGGATTGTTTATAATTTTTAGATTTTTAATAGGGCAGTTGATAATTTTTTTAATTTTGAAAACTTCTTTCATATAAATAAGGCTTTCATTAAGAGAATTTCTGAATTATAGATAGTTTTAAGTTGATAAGGATCATTGCTATTAAAGAGGATTAAAAAGGAGGATTTTGATAATTAGAATTTTCTAATTATGGATAAATTTAATTTTATCATTATTCTTAGGCTTACCTGTCAACATATCAGTTTCTAATAGGATAAGTTTTAGGAAAATTTCACTAATTTGTATATAAAGGAGACATATGGTTATGAGATTTTTTTTAATTATGGATAGTTATAAATTTTATTAGGATTACAAAGTAATTCATTATTAGAATGTTCTAACTCTATATAATTTTAATTTGATGAGATTTCTTAATTAGATGAAAATAAGATTAGGTGTCCACATGTGATCTTCTGATATGAGAGAATGATATATGGTTATTTTTTAATATCATGCACTTAGATGACATGTGTCAGTCTTTTGAGCATTTGAAAACACTACTCATTTCTTATTATATATAAATGAGGGATAGTGCATGTGCGTTGCATGTCTATGTATTTGTATTTTGTTCTAAATTTTTTTAAATAATTTTATTATATAATTTATGGAAAAGTTTGATTTTGGACTTAAACATAGAAAACCTTGAGGATATATTTGTATTTTCTCATCAGTTAAATTTCTAGATTGAATATAATTTTGTATGAGGTTTATTTCTGAAATTTATAAGCATTTGTCTACAGTTTGTAAAGTTTTAGGATTCTTTTCTGTGAATTTATGAAATTTTGGTTTTTTTAATAAATTTATAAAATTAGCACATTTAGTTTAACATTTATGAAGTTGAAGGGTTGGAGAATTTAATTTGAGATTAGTAAGGATATTAATGAGATTGATGGTGAAGTTATGATTGTGGTTATATGAGAGAAATTATATACATTTCTATGCCATTTTAAACAACTACATAACAACAATATCAAAAACATTAGATTAATCAAGGTTATCAGTGACTTGGAAGTTTATTTAAGTGGTATATTCCCTAAACCCTTTCCATTAACACCGGCCGGTACTATTTGAATTTTAAGAACACCCATTTCAAGGTTGGTTAAAATGTACGTGATGCGAGAATCACGTGACGATAACTTAATTTTCGTACTCAATTTAACGCGAGGGATTATTTTTAATCTTGATTTAGCATCGATATAATAAAACTAGTTATATTTCATTAATTTATTTGACATAAAACCGCTCACACGGACGGGCAAAAATATCTTAATTTGCAACAACTCATGTCAATATCAATAGCAAACTAAAAGAACACATCAACCAAACAAGTATCCTCCTAGAGGATCCCCATCCTAATTAATGGATCTTGGATTTAGTTTGATTTCCTATTTGCATGTATTATTGGTCCATTTCAAGCTTTAATACCATGGGTCCATGCCACTGAGAAATTATTCAATGGTATTGGTAGTCATCACATTAGTAGATTTTAAAATTTACATATTGATACGACAATTATCATTCTCTTGGTGCCATTCATTTAATACAATAACGACTTGTAGGGCTGCTCCAAAACACCCGCGTGCCCGGGCCCGGCCAAGCCGTGCGCTCCGGGGGGCCGGCCTCGGCCGCGAAACGCCGGGCCAAGTCCGGGCTCCGGCCGGCCCGCGGGCCGCTGCTATCTTTGTGTGCCTCCGGCCCGCGGCCCGGCCCGGCCGGAATAGTAGTTTTTTTTAAATTCTTTTTTATTTTAGTGTATTATATTATTTAATGTATATATAAATATATATAGAATATGTATAAGTATATGTACTATATGAATATTTTTTATATATGTAATACATATATGATATATGATTAATATATGTAATATATAACATATTTCTAATCATATATGTATATATATGTCATATGCTGTGTATATTATACTCTCTCCTTAGTAATAAGTGAAATATAAGTACTACTCTCTCTATGTAAGTATATATATGTATAAAGTATCATAGAGTATACTTTCTCTGTATATAAGTATAGTATAAGAATACTCTCTCTGTATATATGTAATAATAAGTATGCATGTATGTATATATATCTCCTCCTGCTTAGTATAGTAATGTATATATAAGTATACTCTCTCTTATATATGCTATACTCTCATCTTATATAATATATTTCGTAATAGTATGTAAATATGGTCATATGTGTATGTATAGTAATACTCTCTCTTAGTATATAAGTTATACTATAAGTATACTCTCTCTTATATAAGTATTAATATATTATTATATATCATATATATATAATATATATAGTATAATATATATATATATATATATAATATATATTATATATACCTAATATAAAATAGAATACCTCTTTTCTTATATATGTATAATGTATGTATTGTGTAGTGTCATAATATACTCTCATCTCCTTAGTATATATTGATATATAAGATACTCTCCTCTCTATAATATAGTATACTCTCTCGTATGAATACAGTATATATTAAGTACACACTTCTCTTATATATATAATATAATATAATATTATAATTATATATATATATATATATATATATATATATATAGTAGATATACCTCTTCTCTTAGTATATAATGTATATGATAAGGTATAACTCTCTCTTATATAATGTATAACTCGCCTATTATATAAGTATACTCATTTTATATGTGGTGTTGTTGTATACTCTCTCTCTTAGTATATAAGTATAGGTATATTACAACGGTTACTTTCGCCATTGGCCCCAACGAGCAACGGCTACAGTGGTTACTTATGTGATTCTCTCTCTCGTCTTAATTATACAACTTATAAATATCTACAATATATTTACATCATAATATATGTATATATAATATATAGTTACATAATAATTTAGAAGTATTATACTAATACATAATTATATAAAATATAATAATATTAAACTAATTTTACGATTTTTTATTCAAAAAAAAAAAGAAAAGAAAAGAAATTTAAAAAACCTAGTTGGGATGTACTTATCTATTGTGATGTGATGAATTCCAAAATAAATTTATACTTGTAATTTGTAAATGATTTATTAATTATTAATAAAGAATTTATTTTTATAATTTTTTATTTATAATTTATGTCATTTTAAGTGATTAATAAAATTATTATTTTATTATTATTTTTTGTCTTTTTTTATAATTTAAAACTTAAATAAAATTTAAAAATTTGAAAAAAAAATAAAAAAAAGAAAAAACCCGGGCCGGCCCGGAACCCGGCCCGGTCGGGCCCGGGCCCAGACCCGGCCCGGGGTACCCGGGTCCGGGCTCCAGTTTTGCCCGGCCCGGGCCGGCCCGGATGGACAGGCCTAAATAGACTTAAATAATACGACAATTATCATTCTCTTGATGCATCATTAATACAATAAACTTAAATAATATTTTCTCTCGTTGACAGATCATTCATCATCTGACATTGAAATTTTGTCTAGGTCTTCCTTTCTTCTACTAAAAGAAGAAAGTTGCATATTATGCGTTTGATGTGCTTTCTTCAATAGATTACTTAACTTGTGCTTACTATATGTAAAGTAAACTATATTAAGTAATATGTGGATTCACCTACCTAGATTAAGTTTATTCTGAAATTCATAAAATTTTGTTAACAAAAAATCTCGTTTTCAAGTAAACATCATTCAAAAGTGCTCGCATGGAATCGGAAGGTGCTTAGGCCTGCAAATGCAAAACAACTAAATCAAATTGAAAACCTAGTTACGATTTCACTATAAAAAAATATTCTTTTTATGCACATATATAGAACAAAATCTTTTTTTTTATGCACATTTGGCAAAAAACGACCTTGATAGGGAACTTTCGTTGATCATGGGAAAATAAAGAGGTGCATAATTGACAGGTTATGGATAATTAGTTGAGGAAAAATGAAGAGCTGCATAATTGAGATATTATGGATAATTAGTGGAGGAGTAATGGTATTTGTTGCAATGGTGCAATTAAATATGATTAATGGAAAAATAAATCTTAATGAATGAGTAAATTAATGGATGGTGGGTTAATAAGGTAGTGGAGTAATGAAAAGTTGAATGACTTTTCCTATTACCTTCATGATTACATTATTTTTTTAATTTATGAGAATTAGTAACAAAATATATTTTCTTCTCATATTTTTTTTCATAATTATGAATCTTATTATTTTATATAAATATTATATTAATACAATATTAAATATTATTATATAGTTATACTGCAGTCAACAAAAATGAGGAATGTTACATAACTAACATGAAAATGTGCACTGCTGGAAAAACATGCACAGAATTTTCCTGTTTCTCTGCAGGCTGGGAAAACATGCACAGATTTCAATTAAGCTGAGAAAGTGAAACATAAAGCTTACTCTTGCTCTCCTCCTATTAATTCAAGTGGATTTACTTTTGTCACTATAGCTAACACTGCAAAAAGACCTATTATGAGTGATCCTAGAACATCAGTGGAAGCCTCTCAATTTTCTATTCTTGACCACCAAATTTTTGATTTGGATCCCTCTAATGCTGATAGAGGGAGTACTTATCAATAATGCACTTAGCTATTTGGAATGTTAGGGGGTTTAACAAATCCTCTAAACATGGAATAATAATGCACTTAGCTATTTGGAATGTTAGGGGGTTTAACAAATCCTCTAAACATGGAATAGTGAAAAAATTTATTCAAGAGTACAATTTGGAATGTTAGGGGGTTTAACAAATCCTCTAAACATGGAATAGTGAAAAAATTTATTCAAGAGTACAATATTTCTTTTCTAGTCCTCTTAGAAACTAAAATTGTTGGGGATAAGAAATTACAATTTATTGGCAAGAAAATTGCAAAAGAGTGGAAGTGGATATCAAATAAGCAATTGGCAAATAATGCTAGAATATGGGTACTATGGGATAGTGAAATGCTTTCAGTTCAAGAGGTCAAATCCTCTGATCAATATATCACCTGTGCTATAAAATATAAGGATGACAAATTGTCATGCTTTTTCACTGCAGTTTATGCTCACAACCTGAATGATGAAAGGAAAACTCTTTGGGAAGATCTATTAACTTTCAAAAGGAGTGTTGACTGCCCATGGTTTGTGGGTGGAGATTTTAATGCTATTGTAAATGGAGATGAAAAAATTGGAGGTGCTTCTGGTGCTGGAAATGAAGACTTTTAAGATTTTATCTCATCTAGTCAACTGAGTCACATTAAAACTACTGGGTATTTTTTCACATGGAGTAATAAGCAGGATGCTGAAACAAGAGTATGGAGTAGGTTAGACAGATCCTTGGTCAATCAAGATTGGGTTCACCATTATACTACAAGTCAAGTGGAATATTTGATGCCCCTTTGCTCTGATCACTCCCATGGACTTATCACTATTGGTGATGACATTTTTGAAGGTAAAAAGCCTTTTAAATTTTTCAATATGTGGGCTAAACATCCTGACTTTTTAGAAGTGGTGAGGTCAGCTTGGAATCACAATGTCAGGGGGTATAATATGTACAGATTCTATTCAAAACTCAAAAGCCTCAAGCATTCTCTTAAGGATCTCAACATGAAGAATTACATGAACATAAGCCAGCAAGTTCTAAGAGCTCAAACTAAACTATTGGATATCCAATCCAAACTGAGCAAAGATCTTTTTAATGCTGTTTTGATTTCAAAGGAGAAAGAGTGCACTAAGAAATATGTTGTATTATTGGAAAATGAAAATTCATTTTTGAGACAAAAATCAAATATCAAATGGGGTCTTCATTTTGATAAGGGCTCTCATTTCTTTCACTCAGTTATGAAATCTAGGAGGCACCAGAACAGAATTATGTTAATTTACACTGCAGATGGCTCTAGAATTTCCGACTTGCCTGGAATTGCATCAGAACTCATTGATTACTACAAGAAGCTCCTGGGATATACTAAGGCCAATTCAATTGTTGATTCTAATATAATCTCTAATGGTCCTACTTTAACTTCTGCTCAACAGCATGCTCTGAGTTCTCCTGTATCTAGGGAAAAGATCAAGCAAGCATTATTCTCAATGCCTGACAGCAAGGCTCCTGGACCTGATGGCTTCAATGCTTACTTCTTCAAATCTGCATGGAGTGTTATCAATGAGGATCTATTTCTAGCAGTTGAGGAATTCTTTCACTCAGGTACACAAATCTGCATGGAGTGTTATCAATGAGGATCTATTTCTAGCAGTTGAGGAATTCTTTCACTCAGGTACATTTTTGGGTTCCCTTAATAACACATCTATTACTCTTATTCCCAAGGTGCTCAATCATATGTCAGCTGCTGATTATTGGCCTATATCTTGTTGCAATGTCATCTATAAGATCATTTCTAAAGTTATTGCTACTAGGGTGCAAAAAATCATGGGCTATCTGATTAATGATGCACAATGTGCTTTTGTAAAGGGGAGGCTCATTTCTAGTAACTTCTTGTTGGCTCATGATCTTATTAAGCACTATGGTAGGAAAAATAACTCTCCTAGAGCTATGCTGAATGTTGATTTAAGGAAGGCTTTCGACACTATTAGTTGGGATTTCATAAGGAGTATGTTGATTGGATTAGGCTTTCCTAATAACATGATTTGTTGGATCATGGAATGCATTTCCACTCCCAAATTCTCCTTATCTTTAAATGGTGGACTGCATGGTTACTTTCATGGTGCAAGAGGACTGAGACAAGGGGATCCAATCTCCCCCTATCTTTTCTCATTGGGATGGAATACCTATCTAGAAAGCTCAATACTCTAAAAGATGATTCTTCTTTCAAATTCCACCCGAAATGTTACAGATTGAAGATTAACCATTTAATCTTTGATGATGACTTGCTACTGTTTTGTAAAGCTGATATGAACTCTATTGGAAAAAATTTTACATGCCTTCAAGAGTTTGGACAAGTCTCTGGTTTGGAAGCTAATTCTAGAAAGTGCTCTGTTTACTTGAGTGGAGTTAATAATAGCCTTAAAGATCAGATATGCAATTATCTGAAATTCCCTGAGGGAGTGCTACCTATGAAATATCTGGGCTTACCACTGAATGCAAAAAGACTCTCATACATTGACTGCTCTAGCCTTATTGGAAAAATCAGTAATCAGTTTCAATCCTGGCAACAAAAGAAATGTCTGACTTATGCCGGTAGACTTGAATTGATCAAATCTGTTATTCTGGGCATTCAAACTTACTGGCTTAACAATTACATATTGCCAATAAAAGTTTTAGAGAAAATCGACAGAATGTGCTCAGAATTTCTGTGGGGACGAAAACTTTATTTGGTGAACTGGGAAGCTGTCTGTCAAAGGAAAGAGCAAGGGGGTTTGGGGATTTTTTTCAGCTAAGTTTTGAAACTATGCTGCTGCTACAAAGCTCCTGTGGATGATTCATCTCAAAAAAGACCTCCTATGGATCAAGTGGATACATGGTAACTATCTAAAAAATCAAAGCATATGGGCAGTTCAATCAAAGGCTAATGATTCATGGATGTGGAGACAGCTCCTTAAAGTGAGAGACATGTTGCTGAATAAGTTTGGTCATGCTGATAATACAAAGAATATGTTAACTGAATGTTGCATTGGTGATAAGCTTCAGTTGTCTTCAGTATATAAGACACTTGTGTAGCCCGCAAATGAAGTTGCCTGAGCAAAAACTGTTTGGGATGGCTTCCTATATCCTAAGCACTCTTTTCTATTATGGCTAACTTGTCATGCAAGACTTCTCACCAATGATAGATTGTGCCGAATGGGTATTTTGAGCACAAATCAGATTCAGTGTGTTTTATGTAATGGTCATCAGTTGGAGACAAGGGACCATGTTTTTTTTAGTGCCAATTTTCAGCTAAAATCTGAAATATGCTAATGGACTGGTTGAGATATAGGTGGAGGTCTTGTGTTTGGAGATTGATCTTGAACTGGTACTCTCATAATTTGAGAGGTCAAGGCCCTATGCAGAAATTGAAAAGGATGTGTCTCTCCATTGCAGTTTATATGATTTGTTGGAAAGAGAGGAATCAGAGAATTTTTCATGCTAAAGAAAGACAACCAATTCAGATTTTTAGAGACATCAAATTTGTAGTTTTTTCAAAGGTTCAAAATGAGGATATACATGTACATATGAAAGAGATACTTGAGAGCTTGTAATCTTCTTTTTGAGTTTCCAGGTTTCCTGGTTCTTTGATGTTCTTCAAAATGTTTCAATTTGGGAAATGAATAAAATTTAAGTTCATCGACCAAAAAAAACATGAAAATGTATGATTTTATTGCAATTATTATATTACTTTAATTTAATTAATTGGGGGTATTGTAATTATGACATTAATATTGAGCATATATGTGTGCTCATGCATATATGTATGTCATCACCGAGACATACAAAATTACATGGGATGTATGTGTGTTTATAATGTTTGTATGTGTTTGAGGGCAATATTTGGAAGAAAATATTTTGACATCCTACAGACTTCTATAATAGTACAAGACTAATGAAAAGGACACGTGGAATGCACGTGCCAACTCCATTTTAATGTTTATGTAAAAGAATGCTACATGTTTCATATATACATAAGCAAATTGTACATCTGGCAAGTTAAAGTCAAGAACAGTGACTCTTGGATGTGGAAGCAGCTCTTAAAAGCTAGAAACAAGGCTTTGCAACAATGTGGAGGGGTAGAGAACCTACAAGAGCTCATCAAGGACA